CTGCGGGAATAGTGGTTTGGAAGGAGTGGTGAGTTCCTCTGTTTCCTATGCTAATGAAACCCCTTGCAATCACGAAGCACATGAAAGTGTAGCGGAAAAGAAACCGATGCAAATAAAGTTTATGAAGTTGGATTACTAAGCAACTTTTAGGATAATGGTTGAGAAAAGGGTACGACGGCACTCCAGCAATGATGGAAGAAAAATTAATGTGTTAGAATGCAGTTTTTGTGGAATAAATAAGATTGCTAAATAAAAAATTCACATTTCAGCCAAAAGAATCAGTAAAAGTCACAAAGAAATTACCCGTATTTTATCTTCACCAAGATCTTTCATCAAGTATATTAAAAGAATTTTCAGTTTTTAAAAGAGGCACACTTGTATCATGTGGGTTGCGTAAGTCTTGCGAAATACACTTGAAAGTAAACATGAAGTTGCTGCGGATTTGAAATCATAGTGCGTCAAATTGCACGCCAACCCTTTGTTTTCTCTTTGAACGGTTTTGATAGATTTGAATACAGCAAAAATACAGAAATATTTTCTCTTATTCACAATGAAAATAACCCCATTCCCAGGTAAGGGCGTATTCAATATTGAGTTGCAACATCTTCATTAATAGAGATATTGACGTTTTATATTTAAAATAATGTAACTTCAGAATTTTCTCCAGTAGGTACTCGTGAATATGCATCAAACCATTAACAAAAGGCAATAACTTTTACTGAAATTACTTTGTTGATCACACAAATTGGTCGAACATTTCTAAAACTTTCTACGTCAGCTGCTCGCTGATAGGATGCGCCGCGGTTTCACAAATCTCTGTTCTGCACTCTATGTTGTTCACTTTCTGCATGCGACCAACTTACCTCTCGCGATTTCTATACCGTCACATTATTAATTATTTACCGCGGTGTACATTCGATTTTAGAGGCCACGAAATGAGTTTGACATTTAATCAGAGAGTTTTTGAACCGGCGAACAATAGAGGCCGTGGAAACTTTTACAAATCCATCCGTATCGCTTTCGAAGATGCCACGTCTCATTTTAAAACTCATTGGTATTTATAACTATTACTCAAACTTCAGAACATGTAGTATTGCTGAATTTGTCTTCTCAAGACATATCTATTCATATAAAAATAGTGTTCTATTTCCAAAAAAGAGAAGTTAGACTAATATCCTTAAAATAAAATCTTCTCCCAAAATTCTAATAAGTACAATTGTTGGGTTTCAATGTTCTGAATCGTTTTGTGAAAATTTCATCTGAATATCGTAGACTGTTTGGAAAATATTTGAAGTGAATAACCTTTTTGTTAAGAAATCCTGTATTTGAAATTGTTTACTTCCATTCATCTCCTCTTCTTGTGTATAATTCTCTCTTTTTCCAATAATTCTATTTACATTTAATCACTCTACTCTAATTTCATTAATATCAATCTTTTATCATTATAAACCTTTATATCTTTCTTCTACAAGTATTTCTTACATTTCCTTTCCTACTTTCTACTGCGATTTAGTGGAGTATACACATAATGGATGTACCCGACACATGCTGGAGCATGATTTGGAAATGTATTAGCAGACGACAAACGTCTAGGTTCCTTGGGAACAGTTCAGTCGCCTAAGTCAGGGGCGTGAGCGGAGGGGTGGGAAGACAGGTGCCAATGAAGGAGTCGGCGAGGTTGTTGCAGAGAGAAGCAGACGGTGAGCGACGAACGAGACGATGGAAGCAGAGAGACCTGGTAAGTGTAATAGTAAGAACATTATAAGTTTAAAATGTGATAAAAATGGACGAGAGTGTATTGTGGCGATTGAGTCTGTAAAACGAAGTTGTAGTTTGTAACATCATCTCGGAGGCCGCCAGCAACGCTGCTGAGGTGGACTGGGGGAAGAGCAGTCGAAAAGTGAATCCAGCGACGCTCCAACCAGAGTAGTGCAAGTTGGGGACGTTGATTGAATGAAAGAGCCTTAGTAATTTCATTTTACCTATACGTCTGGGTTATAGTAAACAGTGTAAACAGATGTAGGTAATGTTTATGTAGTAGTAGTATTGATGTAAGAATATTTTGGGGCGTAACAAGATTCTTATTCTGATCGTTTATCGGTTCGTTTAATGTGTTAGACAATGTTAACACAAAGGTAAATTTATAATTCATATTATTTTTCTCCATAGTAGTGTAATATTAGTTGCCATGTTTTATCTTCTTTTAGCATATATCATTTTCTTGTAAGTGTATTTATTTTTGTTGTTGATGTTTAGGTTTGGGGATATATGCATGTATGAAAACCCACAGGTTCTCCCAACGTTAGTAGAGAGGAGGGAATAAGTTATTAACGGACAATTAGGAAGGGCGTTACGACCCTGATGGAGACATCCGAGTTCGAAGAGCTGGGTGCAACCCACGGATTGTAAAAGGGGGTGTCTCGACTGCCTGATTATTTGATAAGCTAAATAATGTCGCAGGCATCACTTGTTTATGGCAGCGAGAACGTGTCTCACTGCTGTGTGTACTGTCACACTACACATACCTGCATCACTAATTCATTCCAGACTATATTTTCTCGTTATATCTCATTGCCCTCTTTCCAGCCATCAGCCCCATGTTCTTTTTGCCTGTCTCCTGCCTCGCAAAGTATTCTGGCGTACTACTGTCAAGACCTACTCTGGATGTAATAAACCTTTCTCGAATGATCTTACAGTCCTCTCATTCAATTCCATGCCCCCTTTTCTCACAACTAAGCTATTCATATTCCTCAACTCCCCGTACACTCCGTCCGTAATATCTCCTACACCTGCCTCAAGTCTATCCTACCATTTTTTCATATTTCAGCGAAATTCTTAGATAAAAGTAGACTGACAGAACAAAGAATAGGCTAGTGAGTTAGTTGCGAAAGTTTGTTGTATATGTATGCGGGCGAGCAATGAAGCATATGTATGCGGAAGAACAATGAATATGCCTCACAAGCGGGTGTGAAACGGCGATATAAATGGTGATAAAAAGGGATAGGTTGCGATACCGTTTGCAAAGGTAAATAGTGAGGCCATTGAAAAAATTGGAAATGATGTAGTGATGAAACAAACAGCTGACGTGATTACATAGGCGATCTTTACTACGGTGGTACTTGTATCTGAATTGGTGATTGTTGTTGTAATGGATGTGGTAGTGGGGTAGGGAGATATTTCGGTGTTGGTAGTTTCGGTGTTGGTGGATTCGGTGTTGGTGATTTCGGTGTTGGTGGATTCGGTGTTGGTGGATTCGGTGTTGGTGGATTCGGTGTTGGTGGATTCGGTGT